ATCTGACACCGTCTGAAGGGAGGGCATGAGTGAGGTCTAAGCCAGGGCCAGGACTGGGAAATGTCCCCTCCAAGCCCAGAGAATCTCCGTCCAGCACACACTCACCACAGAGACTAGGGGTCTCTGGACTCGCAGGGTAAGAGGCTGTACCACATCCTGGATAGAAAATGGCCAGGAACTAGAAAGGGGAAGAGAGAGTATGGGATTTCAGCCAGCCCAGTCAGCAGCTCATACCTGACTTTGAACAGAACACTGTCAAACTGGACCGTAGAAAAGTGGGGAATATAGGGATTCAAGGAAAAGAACTAAAAAGGTCATGAGCTAGGAATGGAAGGAGCAGGGTGGAAAAAGGCTGTGAAAACCCAAGGGCCCCCAAGCCTGACCACCTACCCAGTTTGGAGACAGATACCTGTGCTCACCCACCTGAAGCGCAGGAGCCCCTCCCGGCCATTGGTGGCCTCTTCTTCGGGGAACAGCAGCAGAGGGGTAGGGGGAAGCCTCGTGGAAGCACAGAATCTCTTGAGTGACTCCACCAACTCCTCCCGCCCATCCATCTCCATGAAGCCCCGAGACCAGCACACGAAGCTTGGGGGACTATTGAGTAGAGGCTGGGGTGGGGGAGGAGAGAAAGTAAGAAGAAAAGAATGTTGTTAAGAGAGAAAAATTAACATATGGAGTAGAAAGGCGGGGTCTGGGGTAAGGGTCGGTATCTTGAGTCCCCAGAGGAAACCCGGACGTGGAGAAGGGAGCCTTGAGCTGGGCCCCGGGAACCACCCCGCGGCGCTCTCGACTTCGTCCCCAACTCACGGTGCTACAGCTGGTAAGCAGGTTGACTATGTTGTGGTCGAAAGGTGTCACGTGGTTGGAAATGAGGACCCTGACGCGGTGATCCCGGAGTCCAGAGTCCTCCTGCCGGGCCACGAGTCCCAGCACTGCACACATGGTCCGCACCACGAACCTAGGGATGCAGGCAGCGGTGACTGCGCGGCCTCGGGCCGGGTCCAGCCCTGACCCTCCTCTAGCGCCCGGGTCGGAACCTGCGAAGAACGCTGTCCGGTAGCGCGCAGCTGACCAGGAAGACGTGGATCCCAAGAAAGAGGCGCAGGACGAGAAGGCAGAACCCTACTGGAGCGTAGAGCAGCAGCGCGAAGAGTAGGAAGCCGTCACCCGGGAGCCTGGGGGCGAGAGGCGGGATGATCGCGCGCAGAAGGCCAAGCGGACGCGGGAACTGGCCTCTTCCCGCCGGGGCTCTTACCGGTGCGAATCAAAGAGCCGCTCCGGCCCCGGCACCGGGGGAGGCTCCATAACTGCTGCTTTAGGGCTGTCGGGCCACAGCCTCCGCCGCCATCTTCGCTCCCCGTCGCAGGGCCTCCTGGGAAGGCGGAGTCTCTGGGCATCCGCCCAGGGTGCCGGGAGCCGAAACCCTGATGCGCCCCGGAAGGGCTAGCGGTCCCAGCATGCCTTGCGGGCCCTTGGGCCACCTCAGAACTCGCGTCCCGCGGGGACCACAATTCCCGGCATTCGCAGGGCGGGGGCGGAGTCGGCCTCCCGGAATCCTGGGTCCCGGCGTGCACTTCTGGAGACTTCAGGTACCGGCGTGCCCCGCGTCCTGCAGTCCTCCCGCTCGCGTCCAGAGCGCCTCCTCTGTGTAGGGCGGGCGAGGAGGCAACCAAGGCGGAGCTGATGGCTGCACTGAGGGCGGGGCGGGGTGCAGGCTGGAGCCTCTGGGGATGGCGGGCTTGGCGGGGGGTTCGCTGGGGTAAGGGATCACTGCTGACTCCTGACTTCCGGGCCCTGTTGACGTCAGGAGCTCCTGACCCTCGGGCTGGAGTGACTTATGGGAC